GAGAGAGAGAGAGAGAGAGAGAGAGAGAGAGAGAGAGAGAGAGAGAGAGAGAGAGAGAGAGAGAGAGAGAGAGAGAGAGAGAGAGAGAGAACCGCGGATGACATCCGCCCTACCGCACGGCGGCCACATGCGCCATAGCGAGCGGCGTCCATAGGCGCCATAGCGGATGGCGGCTGAAGCCGCCATAGTTGGGGAGAGAGAGAGAGAGAGGTCATTTGCTAAAGTGCATCGTGTCAGTCGTTGCAGTCGACCATGTGGAAAGGTTAGCACCCAACGCATGGTATTTCTCCAACTCGACAGACCGCTGCAACGCCGTCCTTTTCTCCACGGAGATGTGCGCACTGTGTTGCCAATGGACGGTTGCCGACAACAGTACCAAAGTGTCAACGAACCATCATCCCGGTCGTCTCATGCTTTGTCTGAAACAGGTGGGTTGACTCACAAAATTGTAAAGGTTTTTAACATTCAATAGTGTTCGAGACCGCGACTACCCGCTCATCCCATACACATGTTTAAAGTGTGTTCCCCCTCCTCATGCGGTACATGCAGAATATCATGTTTGCGTTGTTCGTTGCTCGTTGGTAGTTTCATAACTTACGACGTCGGTTTCTGTGAATTGCAACACTTTTTGAACGCCATATGAAAGAAGCGACGATGCATTGCGCGCCAATGATTGTCCGATGTTACCACACCACAAAACTGACAGGCGGCAACACCGTATACTATTACGAATCAATGACTCCTGTAACAGATCCTGTCGGCGATGCAGCGGGATACCGCAATGGATATAAGAAGATGCATCATCATTTCGTTGTCAGCGTGGAGGAGGAACGAGTCGTTAGACTCACTATAGAAACTTATATTCGCGACCACGCCATGGAACACGTTCGTGTCCTAATGTCTAAGCCAACCACGTACTTCAGTACCTTCGATCTCAAACCGGTCGACAGTGATTTCATGTATGATATCGTATTCCCCCTTGTGCATCGTATACTATACACACACTACGGGACGGTTGCTCGGGGCGGCGTCTGGCGCCTGGTCGTGTCACCGCCCTATTTTGTCTCTAATGGCGAGGATTTCTCAGCCATGTCTTATCCTTGCAGTGCGACCCAACGATGAGTAGCATTCGTTAATTTTTTTCTTAGTTTCTTCGTTGTTGGAGAGAGAGAAAATGATGGTTTCAATGATTGTATATTCTCTCTTCATACATATGCAAGCCCTATCTCCCATGTGTTTGTTATATGTTTTCAGTATTTTTTTTTTTTTGCCTACTTTGCGTTCTGAAATTTGTTTTCGTTTTCGTTATGTGGAGGCACAGTAGGTACAGTACTAAGGTAATCGGTGCCCGTAATGTTCTGTTTTGTAGATTTCAAAAATATCACACATAAGCGACAAAACAATATTCACATTTTCACATACATGGACCGTCGACGACGCACGGCTGGTATGCGGGCCGACGCAGAAGTATTTGGAAATGGGACAGGAACTGATCCTTTCTGCGACGAGGAGCTGACAGTCGCCGAGATTAGGAGCCGGTGGCCGGGACTCGCAACGCTTTTGGAGGAGGCTGTGACTTTTGCTGGCTTGGAGGAGCATCTGCAACAGTGCACGAATCTGCTTATTAGTCGTGCAAATCTCGAACCCAAGCAGAATCGTTACAATGGATATGTCGCTTTTTCTCGGCTGTGCGGGTTTAAGGTTTTCCGACAGAGATTGCCAGATGAGTTCCAAGATGCAATGCGGGAACGATGACCACATACAATTATTCGAGGTTTTGAACTACGACAATGTGATCCTACTGAAAACGCGCGCCCACCGTAGATAGATAGATAGATAGATAGATAGATAGAGAGAGAGAGAGAGAGAAGAGAGAGAGAGAGAGAGAGAGAGAGAGAGAGAGAGAGAGAGAGAGAGAGAGAG